CCAAGGTTACCTAGCTCGATGCCAGCCTGGGCTCGTGCCCTCTGCTGCACTGTCCTGCTGTCTCTGCACCCACAAGCTTGGCATCAGCCCAGGAAGCCATTAATGTCACCCGAGTGTGGACTCGCAGTTTAGGGTTGGGCCACTCCTCCAGGGTCAGCTTCCCATGGTGCGTGAGCTCTCCCCCAGCCTCCCCAGGCTGCCGCCCTTGCCTGGCTCACTTCCGGGGTGGCGAGCTCCCTGCCTGGAGGCAGCCCCTGCTGTCTGTGTGCAGTTTGTTCCACAGGTGCTTCCAGGGTTCCTGGGCTCCTCCTTAGACCCCGGGAGATCTGTCCCAGAGCGTCCAGCCACGTCCCATCCAGATAAATGCCACAGACTAAGAACTGTTCTCGCCTGGGGGAGCTCTGCCGGGGCAGGGAGTCAGAAGCTGAGCCAGCTCCTCTTCCCAGTGTGCACAGGGAGGATGGCCTCCACCTGGCCCTGTGACCGGCTTACCTGCCGCTTCCCAGTGGCCCCTGCTGCTGGCGCAGTTTAACTGAGCTCTCGCCCAGAACCGCCCATGGCCCCGTAGTAAGCCCAATTACAGTCGAGGAGACCGAGGCTCAGAGAAATCAGGCAGCTCCTGGTGGTGGGCCCTGCCCCAGAGCAAAGTTCAGGAGCTCCGGCCAGAAACAGGCTGCCTGGCCGTGTGGGCTAGCGCAGTCCTGGGCTGCAGCATCCTCACCTGGGGAGTATGCCGACACCCAGGGCAACCGCTGGTTACCGGCTCCTAGGCCCTGGGTGCACGGCTGATCCTCTTCAAGCTCGACACACCCATCAACAGGGATTAATCATTTCTGCCTAGGGGGCTGGCAGGTGGCGTCGTGGTTGGTGCTAGACGCCCACATAGGCAACTGCGGTTCGGGTCCCAGACCTGGCGGCTTGCTTTCTCGCTTTTCCCTCTCTCTCTGTCTCTGTCTGATCAAATTAAAAAATAATAGTAGCAAATGGAAATAAATAAATAATTCTTTTTCAAAATAATAATAATTCCTGCCTAGAAGGGGAAACAGTCTGGGTGTAGGAGGGAGGGGGTCGGGAAAAGATAACATTTAACAGAAATGAAAATGAAAGTTACCTGTTGGTGGTAGTGTATATGGTGGCACCTAGGACTTGGACTAACGGCAGGGAGGACAGTCAGGGCACAGAGCACCTACGTTGCTCCGCTTCCCAATAACAAGGGTGCGCCAGGAGCTGCTCTCTGCCACAGGGGGTGAGTCCTCTCATTCTTCCCGCCACCCGGAGGTCGGCATCATTACTGCCTCCACGAGGGTTTGCACAGCGTCCCCGGGTGGTGCGGGGGCCCTTGGCGCTGTGCAGCCCAAACGCCCGACAGTAGGTGAGAGCAGAGGGTAGGGCAGATGCTCAGATGCTCTGCAGCGCACTGGACAGCCACTGAGGGGTGCTTTCTTCCATGTGTTTGTGGGGCTACGGGAAGGCGCAGGGTAAGTTTAAAGAGCTCCAAACTGTCGATGAGGATATAACAATATGTAGGGCCAGCAGGTGGTATGGTGGTTAAGGCACTGGATCCCCATGGCTTAAGTCCTAGATCTGGTGTCTTGAAGGTCAGCTGGTCGTGTGTGTGCACCTGTGCCCAAAACCCCAAGAGGAGAATGGGAGAGAATGGGATTGCTGCATAGCCAACCCCCCAGGGGTGGTTTCTCACTTTCCTTCTCTCTCTCTGTCTCTCTCTGGCGAACAAATATGCTCTATGGCCTCGATGTTAAAAGAAACAGGCTTATGGGTGACTGGGATTTCCTCTTCGTGATTTCCACAGTGCAGATGTGTATGACTCTTACAGTCCGGAAGCAGAAAGTGACGGTATGGAAGACTAGCACAGGTCTGGCTCCTTGGCCTGGTAGTTCAGGCAGCTGGATCCCACATGGCCAACCTCGTGGTTCAAGTCCTGAACCCAGCAGCTTGAGAAGCACACAAAGCACATGTACGTGCATGCCCAAAGTCCAGAAAGGAGAGAGACATGGAGGAGAAAGGGCGGGACGTGACCATTCGCCGTCTCCCAGAGGAGAGATGCTTTCTCTTCTCTCTCTCTCTCCCTCCCTCCCTCCCTCTCTCTCTCTCTCTGTCTCTCTCTCTCTCCCTCCCTCTCTCTCTCTCTCCCCCTCCCTCTCTCTCTCTCGTCTGCTGAGGGTATGTGTATACCCTCTAGCAAAAAGTGAAAAAAGCAGCGCAAGTCCAGTTTGGGCATCAGGCAGTGAACCCCTTTTGGTCTCTTCCAGATCTCGGAGAAGTACGGGCTCCCTGAGGAGAATATTCACAAAGTCTACAAGAAGTGCAAGCGGGGGTAAGTGCCCGCCTGCCCTGCCCCCCTGTCTCCCTCTCTCTTTCCTGTCGGAGGGCTGGAGCAGGTCTGTTCTGCCCAGCAGAGACCCTGCTGCTCCGTGCTGAGGAGGGCAGTGCCTGGCCTTCAGACAGCGCCTGCGGGCTGTGGGGTCGGGGAGAAGAGCCCCCTAAGCAGGCCAGGGCCACTGGCCACCCCTCCACCTGCAGAGCCCAGACGTAGAGCACTGCTGGGGAGGATGGCGTGGGAGGCAAGTGAAGACAGGTGAAGGGAACCAGCAGTTAGCGTAATGGCTATGTCGCTGGACTCCCACGTAGTCGACCGCGGTTCGCGTCCCAGACCCGGTGGCTTAAAACTCACGCCGGGCGCGTGTGCGTGCGTGCCCAAGATCCCGAGAGGAGAATGGAGGAGAAGGGATTGCGGCGTGACCATCCCCCCTGGGGGGTGATTTCTCGCTTTCT